CCCTTTTCCCAACCATTTTTACAACAGTGGTCAACGACTGGCTCTATTGAAATGACGATTATTTTATAATCATGTGTAGATGAAAGCTCGTGTTTATACTGTTGGCAAGGTATTGAATAAAATTATCCAGGCGTATAAATATCGACGAAATCGTGCAAGGCGTTATCGCACTGTGGTACAATACACAATACATAATACATATCGAACAACCCTCGTAAAGTTATTCAAACAATTAGGTTTTATAGAATGGTGAACATTAAACATGATTAAATCGGAAGAAAAATTGTGCTGAAATATATATGAAATCTTTATTCAAAATATTTTAGTTTTACGTTTTAATTAGATGGAGCATACTGTTACATAATTCTCTCTTTTATTTGTAATAAAAAAAATGAAATATCCTAGACAGCCAAACTTGCATTTAAATACTGCGCGGATTTACTATAAATAGAACTAAATCTACCTGGGCCCCGGATGGTGAAGTTGAACAGATAATGTACTTGAGAGCCAATCAACGACTTTTTTGCAAGAAAATAGAAAATGGAAACCATACATCCCATAAAAATATCTTTCAATACATGTACCTATATTATACATATAAAATTGTCATTTGAGAAGTTAAACTTCAGATATTTACACGTAAATAGATTCGTGTCTTCATTAATAAATTTAGAACACATGTTCTGGAATTTATACTATTTGGTACACAATCAAAACCCTTTCAATTGCTATTAAAACATTAGGAGTAATTTTAGATTGAAAAAACAATTCTTTCAAAAAGTAATCAATCTTTCTTATATCTAAGCTCATCAGTTTTGGATTCAAGATAAGCTGGGAAGAAACAAAAAAGAATAATCTGTATCTTTACTCAAAATGACCTTTTTTCTGTCATCCGGGTGCTTTACACATTATCTGGTAATTTTCAAACAAGATAAATGAAGTTTACAGAATCGACATGGGATATATGGAGAAAACTCAGGTGAGCATTTAAAAAAATTAAGACTTGGGGATTTGAATCAAATTAAATCAAAGATACCTTGAATGAGATATGTTCTTTTAATATCCCAGCTTAGTGTCATATATTAAAGTCTTGGTCAACATATTAAAAAAATTATTAATACGTGTTTATATATTCAAAATTTAGCATAAGCACTATAGGACTGAGTTGTTGAGGTACATGTGTATTTGTGAATTAGCGCTAAACACGTACATCTTCGCGCTGTATATCGTATGTATGTGTGTGTGATTTCTTAGCTGTATTCACGAAATGCCACATGGCGCGCCAAAGCCACAAAAATAAGAACCCCCTTTTCTATGTACACATATAGGCTATCCAATTTTCCTAAATTCTTAAAATATTTGATACCAAAAATCTTTAAAACAATCCGCAAGAAATAATGTTTAGGCATACTTCGGTCAAATGTCAAGTAATTCAAAAATGTTACAACATTTAATTACGAAAAGTAATTTATTTTAGTGATTTCTCTTTTCGGAATTATTTCATCATGAAACAAATTTTCTTAACTCTCCTAAACGTATAACAAAACTTACAGAAAATTAACATTAATGAAAAAAAAATCGTTAGTGTATAATAAAAAAAATTCAGATTTAAATTCATCAAAGTCTTTAAAGAAGGGTTAAATTACTAAATCATATCTGGTTCATGAAGATATTGTTATGTTGATATATACAGTTTAAAGCTAGAATTATCGAATTAATAGAAATCGGAAACAGAACAAAAACGGACTCCTTAAACATTTGAGGATTTAGCATTCCCTGTTGAAACGGCACATCCGCCGTGTGCGCATTGTAATGATCAGGAAAAATTAAACTAGTAGACACTTTAGTGCGCTAATAATGGCCTAGCATAACAAACATAAGTCATCATTCGTCTTATAATGATAAACTACATATGCTGACGAGGTCATCACAATTATCGACCACGGATCCTAAGCCATCATAAGATATCAATTTTTTTATACAAAAAGGACATACGAAATGTCTATGTTATTCTGTTTCTGTCATTGCTTATTTATATAATTATTTTATACATAGAACTTAACTAGAGTACATTTATGAATATATCTTCCAATTTAAATTTTTTGAAAAGTATACATCTGGACACACATGTATATGTATGCCTGCATAAAATTCATTACTTTTCAATGTAATAATATAACAATGACTATAAGAAAACTTTAAATTAGTGCCTTCTACCGATATAAGTATGAGAAGACGTCACGACAATGACCAAGATAAGAATAAAATATTTGGATCAATCATGTATAAAGCCGAACATCATCGAAGAAGAGGAGTAACAGCAAGCCATAAATGTGATTCAACTTATCGATTAATTGACTTTTACGAGGAGCGCTGACTTTTACAGTTGACGCTTACTTTTACACTAGGGCTATATACGGTAGCTCTCTTATGATATAAATATTTAGCTCAACATTTAATTAAACGAAAATAACGGGTTATTCAATGCACGTATAAGTTGTCATTGAAGAAAACGACAACCACCCTATCCTCAACTCCCGGTCTTCACATGTTAGTGCCCCTGACACCATACCTATGACCACTAGAAAGGTTTTCTTATGCATTATCAATTCTGAACTTCCGTACATAAATAAGGGCTATTCTAGGTACTGCAAATAAGTGGTAAAGAAACAGTTTTTTTTTTCAAAAATTGTGCAATTTGTGGACCTAGGGTCAGAGGTTCATGTGTATTAGGGGCACTTCTGATTATTGCTGAGTATTACTGATTAGTTGATATGCATTTTTTGTTCCCCTACCCTGCCTATGGGTATGAAGCAGGGTAAATAAACAAACTAAGCAATTGCTAAGTTCATACTTATGATTAGCAATGGTGCCAGCCTCTTTCAAAAGTGTGAATGCCATAGCATCTACCTTAAAACATGAACCAAATTATATCAATTGAAAGTTGTTGCATGATTCTCAGGTGACCTATAAGGCCCATGGGCCTCTTGTTATTGATGTTTTGTTTTGAACATATTTTATTGACAATATGCCAAAGGGATTGGACACAAATTCCAAAAACTTAGATAGTCCTATCCCATACATAAAAATCTGAATAGCCATACAAAATATTCATTTACTAAGTTTTACAATAATATATACATGTACATAAAAGAACAAAATTTTGATGTAACTTTATAATTTTGTAAAAAATCAGGTCTTTAAAAGCCGTGGACAGTCTGACCTTAAGCTAATTTCATTTTAACGTCAAACATTTAGATTTTAAATTTTAATGCACGTTCATGGACACACACTTTATTTTCTTTATTATGTCACACTGCAAAGTGCAAGCAATAATCTTAAAGTATAGATTATAATTTATTTAATTTTCAAAATTCAAAACAATACACAATAATTTACAAATGTCGTCAATATAAACAATTCGAGTACTGCACAGTCCAGTCTGATGGTGCGCTAGATTCATAACATCGTCATGAATAGAAATACCCATTTTCTTCAACTAACATATGTTTTCAAATCCTTGTATTTGCATTTGTACGCATTTTTGTGTTTTCGCATTTGTACGCACTGTTGAAAAATCGTGTATACCAATCTCAAATTAATAAACAAAATATATTCTAATAACTTTGAGTTGTTTGAACAAATATTTTGTCTCTGACGTCGTTTCAACCGTATTAAAACATAATTTTTTGTTGGACGCTGTCTCGTTCGGGCGGCCGACGTCGCTTTTTGGCGAGTTTTGACCATTATTTATTAGGGTTTTTGTTTAGTATTTTCACCGTCTATAAAGTAACCGACACTTAAGATATAAAAAAATGATTATAGCCTCTTTATTTGTGTTACACATGATTTTTATAAAGCTTTGATTTGTTTTATATTAAAAAAAATAATCATTTTAATCCAAACACTTTATTTCAAACTTCATGGCATTTTAATCTTGGTCTGCGCGCCTTATCTGCGACAATTAAAGAACTAAAGTTTTACAAAAATATTAAGTTACATCAATAAAAATGAGATCATTCTGACTTGGTTTTTCAAAAGAAATATTTTGATATACAATAGATGTATATAGATCCATTTATTTTAACAAAAAAGTCATTGTCCACGAACTTTTTGGACAACCCTGTTATATATAATTTAAGATAATAAGGAATGAAATAAAATGTTTCTAACGTGTTTTAATTAAAGGGAAGTCTTTAAAGGAAATCATTATAAGAAAATCATTTAAAAGTGCTTTGTTTCTTTTCGAACATCAAGGACATGATTTATTGATTTATTGTACAGCTTAAATTTGAAAATTTTGTATACGCTAAAGATATTCTTTGTAGTCATAAAAAGAATTTGGACTCACATAGCTAGTTATATTTTAAATGGTTATACCGGAATAAAAGATTCCTTGTCATCAAACAAATTGAATGTATATGTAAAAGATTATAAAATTAATCAACTTTAAAACAAGAAAGGCTTTCCCTTGTAGACAAATTACGATTACTCAAAAATACTATCAGATAATCTTTAAGCGAAACTTGTTTTAAATAAAAGAATAAAAGGTTAACTTGTCAATCGTCAATCTTGCATTTAGTAAATAAATACCTACGATAAGAAAATTTTCTGAGAATCCTAAATTTAAATTTTCCTTCTTAAAACAAAATTAAAACTGGAATATTTTTTTAACTTCAAGACTTGATAAATCATGTTGTTTTTCTAATGTATTTTCAAAAGAGCATCATGATACTATTTTTTTTCCTTACTATACACAGTCATACTATATATGGCAATATTCTTCAACAACATGAATAGAACCAGATCAAATCATCTAGCAAATTAGAGATTTGCCTTGATTTTATAAAGGTTTCATTAATTCCTTACCTGTTCATCACTCTCACATGAAATAAATTCCCTAGAAAATATCACGTTCTTGAACGCGCGCTTCCTTGATGTATAAATAAGGATAGGCATGCGATCCTGACACTTCTAATTCTTCCAGAACAACTACGGACATGGAGCCCGACTTTGGAGAGGAGCTTTCAAAAACAGCGGCACTGCTCTTTACGATTATAGTGATTATTTTACTAGTACTAGGAGTACCATCAAATACATTGGTTCTTTGGACTCTCCTAAAAATCAAACGTCTTCGACGAAATCAAAATTTTTTCGTAGGAAATTTAGCGGTTTCTGATTTTCTTATTACAGCGTACCTGCTTCCTTTTAACCTGTTCTTTCTTCTCAACAAAGATGCTGAGATTCCCAGTGTGCTCTGTGATATGAATGGAGTATTTACACGACTTCTGTTCACCTCATCTGTATTTTCCGTGACAATGATAGCCATGCATCGTTACATCAAAATTTGTCACTATACCTTTTACCCTCGAATATACACAAGGAAAACTGTTTTAGTGATCATTGGAGGCATATGGGTGATTGGTCTTCTATTCGCTATGCCGTTTATCTGGATTGACCATTCTCTTATCTATGATCCAACATTGCAAATGTGTATTTATAACAGATACGCCAGCAAACCTTCCTCCACCGCATACTTCGTTATATGTCTATATGCTCCTGTCACTGTAACGATTGTATGTTACTATAAGATTAATGCTCATGTAAGAAAACACAAAAATAATCTTTCAGCCTGGAACAGCGGATTTGGGCATTCAAGATTTAGGAACGACGTTCGTTCGACGAAAATGACATTTGTTGTTTTTGTAGTTTATCTCGCATTGTATAGCCTATTTGGGGTACTAGCTACAATTTTGTATAAACATTCACAAGTCTCGGCTGAGGTTCACGCCACCTCTATATACATGGCGTACGCAAACAGTTGTGTGAACGCTTACATTTACGGCTTCCTGAATAGAGACGTTTACAGGGCGTATAAGGAAGCGCTATGTTGTCGAAAGACAAGAAAAATTCTGCACAGACATGCCGTGGAACTTCATAGGACAACTCAAACACCAAGCATAAAAGCCCAGACCGCTTCCTCCTCCATTAGTCAATTCTTAGTGCTGTGATACTAAAACTTGTACTACAAATCAAATGGAAAATTAATTCGAGGCGTTTGAATCTGAAAAAGTAAGATATATGATTTAAACACTTTGTAAACCTGACGTTGCAGTCAGGAAAACTTGTTCTTAAAGCAATACATGTATATTTGTTCATACAGTAAAATTTCTGTTCTTACATTCTGTTCTCTAACAATGATTTTTATGCATACAATGTAATGCTCATCCTTTTCTAACGTCAATAAAAAATGTCACTCGCCTTCATTCATGGATATGAATTATAAATAACATGCAATTATCTAACATAATGAATGTTTCTTTAAGATAATCCTTTTGTAGTAGAATTTGAAGTAAAGAAACACGTGAGTTTCCTGTTAAAACGGCTTGTTACAACCCTAGTATTTATGGATCTTTTACGTGATGAGCAATTACCAGTGCCACACTGTTTCAAATGAAAGAAAGCATAGAATTCATGGCATAGCTTTTTTTCAGGTAGAATTATATACAGCTTCGATTTCCTTGGAAATCTATGAAAACCTTTTTTGTCCATTTATGAATACAAGGGTCGTTCAATAAGAAATGCAATACATAGCTAGTCATAATAAATGTTTAAGTGTTCAATTATACATGTATTTATGTACAAATGAAAAAATGTACAAAAGAACACCTTATAACAGAAAATTGTCATTGCAAAATAATCACTTCGTAAGTTAGCATTGTAAGTACACTACAAAGAATAGGGAAAGACATGAGTCTATACACAGGTTTATTACAAAAATTTGTTTAGGAATCAATACTAATGGTATGGTTTTGATATGTGGAAAGGCGCTGTGTATACATAGTTTTCTGGGAAACTTAGAAGTTAAAGAAAAGAAAAATTAAAAGACATCACTTGAATTGATCGACCGAAATATGTAGGACAAAAATATTTAAATGCTGTGAGCATCAGGGCTTCTGAAATGTCTCATTTACATTGATAGACATACTTCAAATTCAGGTTCTGTTTTCTATCGGATGAGCGCCTTATTCCTCAGAGATACCAAAGAAAACATGCCTTACATGTGCCTATGGTCTTTTCGTCAAAAAAATTTAAAAAGGTTTTAAAAGCTTCCATGGATTAATTGTTTAACCTCCATCCCAAAAGTATGAAATACAATATCGCAGAGATCAGAAAACTGTAATACTATTAATGAAAAGAGAGACAATGGATCCAATCTTGTATTCTTTTTTGTATTCATCCAAAGAGTGTGTTTGTTTGTTATATATCCCTTTTGCGAATTTGCCTTTTGTCACTCATATCCGCAGGCCACAACTTCCCGATGGAGGGGTTCAATTTAGATTTATAAGGCCATTTAGTAATGCAGTATCTTTTTTCATGCATACACCTACTTCGACACGAGACCTCGGTTTGTACGGTCTCTCATCCGCATGACCGGTCTTCACGTCTCAAAGTGGGATCCATACCCGCAAAGTAAGGATCAACTCCTTCATCCACAACTCCAAGACAAACGTTCTGAACACAAGAGGTCCAGTTGAACATGTACGCACTGACATCGATTACTCTTGTGTTCAAATTGCACAAGAGAAAAGCATTAAAAGAAAAAAAATTCTATAGTCAACAGTGCTGATACAAATTAGGAGAAAGAAATATAAAAAATGTTACCAAAAGGAAGGTCAACTATTATTTTCCATTTTTATTTACAAAAAAAAAATCAAAGAAAATTTTTACAAGAGTAGATGTCATAATGGGACATGTTCTTCATTTGTGTTTTTTCAGGAATCCCTTAAGATAGGTATGTAATGGCGTCTGAACAGGGAAATTACCGGTACATTTTCAGTCGTGCAAAGGTTAACAGGGAATAATTGGAGAGGTTGAAAAATTTAATAAAACTGCTTTACTTACTTTTCAGTTTTTTGAAAGATGTTTTGCATTGCATGTTTTTCCTGTGAAGATTGAAGTGTGCACGGGGAAAAAGTATATAAATTGCCTACACTACAGTTTAGTTTATTTTCATCATAACTCCTTTCTAAACACTTGGATAAATGCAATATTTTTAAACCAGTAATAGGGTATGAAATTGTGCAAATGAATACTTAGTAAGGGAAACATCATCGGAAAAAAATTTTCATGTAAAATGAACATGTTTTCCTATTTTAAAACCGGTATGTGGATTGAAAACATTAGTTATAATTTAAAATTTACAGGTTGGGATGTGTGGTTATGATCACAAAGACCGCTATATGGATTGAATATATTAGTTTTAAATTAAAATTTACAGGTCGAGATAACAATGACCATATTTCAATGGAATTGGATGTTTGTTTTCATTGTTTAACGCCTCTTTCGAGAACTTTTTATTCATTTGAAGAAGCCAGCACTTGCCGTTGGAGAGCTGCAAAGTTTGTCATATACTGGACATGAATGGCGATTAAGTAGTTCTGGATCTTTTTCGTGCAAAACCTACTGCGACACAAGACCTAGGTTTAAACGATCTCATCCGAAGGACCATGTCCAAAATAGGATTTGAAACTGTCTTGTAAGGATCAACTCCTTACATCACAGCTGAGCTCTAACTACTGCGCCTCGCGGATGAATCTTTTGAAATGTGTTCAGGGCTTAAAAATCTTTAGAGAAACTAACAAAACAAGTCAGCTTGAACAGAAATAATATAATAAACTACGTGATTGATTGACTGGATACTCTTTTACCTCTCCTTTTATTATATGTTTCACTCATAAAGAGGCATCAATTTAAACCGTACCATTGAGGGACTTCAAATTTAGATCTTTGTTTGGCAATCATGGCAGTTGAGCTGTGAGGAATCTTTATGGTGCAAACGCTTGTCGAAACACAAGGTCTCAGTTTTTAAGATCTAATACGAAGGAACCACAACTTTCACGCCTAGGTGCTAAGTGTTTCGCGAAGAAACAGTTGCAACCTTTATTTTATCGATTTAAGTCAGCCGTGGCAGCGACCTTCCAAAAGTGGAGCGAGCGCTCTACTAACTGAGCAAGAATGAAATAATCTTATAGAAAATATTATCCTTGTGAACTTAATTAGTCACACATAACCTATTACTAGTACTGTGTTGTATTCTGACTTGTTTCATTTCACTTAAAAGCCCTTGTAATAATACCAAAATTGACTATAGATTATTTCGTCTACCTGATCAATACATAGTAGGCCTTTCAACTAATTTTTCAAGTTGCACATATAGTAAAAAACATTTCATTGATAGATTTATAGGTACATGAAATTATCCAAAAAGATAATAACTTATTCATACATTTAATTAAATCATTAAAAAGTTTAATTACTTATAACTGAATTGTGCGATGTTGTCTGACACGTAACTTAGGTGTGAAAAAGTACCAACTAAGTGCCGATTTATGAGTTATCGTTTATAGGAATTACATATAGGCTACTTCAACATGGGTATTGTTATGTATACAAAAGGGTTCCTTACATTGTTTTGTACACAAAAGCGTTGACCAAAAGAAGGAGAATGTCTTCACTGTACCTGAAATAACAGCTTAGGTCAAATGAATTGGGAACAGACTATATTCTATATTTTTAATTCTGTTCGACGATTGTTATGAGGAAGAAAATATAATGACATGATTTTTTGCGTACTTTTGTGCTTCCTTTATGAATATAAAAATTTTTGCAAGTAAATACAATTGATTATCTTATTTGTGTTACCTAGCACGAAGAAGAACGACCGAGTATAAACATTTAATCAGGTTAGAACTAAGAAGGAGGGTAGATTTCACTTTTTTGTTTTAATTAAAAAGTTTTACTTATATCTAATTAAACGGTGTCAGCAACTATTTAGTAAATAAGTTTAACATTAGTGCTAAATTTCAAAAACACTGGATTCTATTGACAGCAAAGAAACAATTGGGAAGTGCTAAAAACTGACTTGCGTACCTCGGACCTGCTCTAAACAAGTTTCAGCAACGAGTTATCGTTCATAACAGAGAACCCTAGCGGCAGCTGAAAGGCCTATACATAGGTCTCACGGCAGGTCTACAGAGGATGTTTTTTTCTTCTGGGACCTTAATTCCAGTTGGAATTAAATTCCAAGGATCTGTCTTTTATTCACTTTATTCTTATTTGATTTGTTTATAGATTGAATTAGATTGATCAATATTCGTCATCTTCACGCTTTTATTGTTATAATGTAATGAAATATAGACATAACAAACAATTATCACTTAGGAGCAAAGAAAACAAGAACCACTATAAATAACAAAGATGGAATCAGGTGACATTGCTGGTTAAACTATCCCTGTCGACCGGTCTCATTCGCCGACTGCTCAATGTCATAATCGAGCACACAGAAGATATTCGTAGAAAAGAATCTTTAGAGTGTTAGAAATGTTCTAGCAATCTGAGTGCAGGAAGAGACATTTTACAGGAAGACATGCGTGAATAAAGACCATCATTCCGAGTTTGCAGAGCTTTATGATAAACCTCGGTCATCCCTCGTCTGAGAGATAGATTGGCCTCGCTGGCAAGATCATTGTATTGACCATGGAATCTGCCATATGTTGCCTTTATTTGGGACTTGATTTTCAATATCGACTTGCTTATCAATATCTTATTTCAAAATTAACTCTGCGTAGAACATGCTCTTGTGTTTAGAGTAAACTTAGAGCTATAAATGCCTTTTATATGCAAGTGTATATTGCTGAATAAAAAAGCTAGGGAAGATAACGTGTGTTGTTACGTTAACATTTACATTTACCACTTGTACATGTATATATTATGTAAACGTCAAAATACGAGGGTTGTCCATAAAGTTTCGTGGATAAGCTAAAATTTGAATAAAAGATGTGTTATTTATTTTTATCATTAGCATATTTATACTTTACTAAATGTATAATTAAAACATGACTTCATTATTGGTTTTGGGGTGTATGACAAAAATATATAATTAAACAGTTATTCTATCACTTTGTAAATTTAATTTGTATTTTGCAAATTCTGCATAAATTTGGATGAC